TAATCGTCTTAGAGGAGCCTACTTTATCAAGATATCAAGAGTTCCTTTTTACCAATATCGAATTTTGCTTTTTAGAAGTAGCCAATTGTGAGGACGTATTTGACCAAAACATTCCTTCTGGCACGAAAACGTTCCGTAAATTACGCGATATTGGGTTTTCCGAACTTAATATCTGTTCTAAATTCTTAACATATTCATTTTAAAACAATTCGCTCGTTTCTTAAAACAGACCGTAACGAAGGACAGGGAGAGCACTTCCTGATGAATAACCAAGTCATCCGTTGCCTTTTACCACCTTCAATAATGTGGCTTTAAGGGTACATGATGAAAACGATATCTGTTTATTTACCCCTAGATATGGAATGTTCTCGACCCTTCAAGCAAATTTTTAGCTCAATTAAAAAATGGAAACGCTGCAATGTTCAATTATTCACCGAAATGAAGGTGAAAAGAGGTAAGCCGCAAAGTGCCGAGATAAATATCCAACACTTTTACCGACACTTTATTTTATTTTATTTTTTTTTTTTGGTGATTGAATTGTGATAGGCAATGTTGTCTCTTTGGCTGCTTAGAGGCGAATAGTGCTTGTTAATCACTTCCGAACCAGCCAATCAACGCGCGTGAAAAGCACTATTCACTGGACGGCTATATACTATGATAATATATCACTTCATTCCAAGAAACTGGATGATGTCATGTTATCGACTTAAATGATGTAAAGTACAAATTAATTTAACATATACAACCAGTATCAGAAATACTTCTAAATGTTAGTTTTAGTTTCTGGTGTCACTTTTTACCCTAAGGCGTTCTAAACACTTCTTACCACTCTTGATTTTAAAGAGGACGTATATTGCTTGACCGGTCATTACCCTAACATGGAGAAGGAAGTGCTAATAAAGGCCCGTTCTCTGACTGTCCATATTGTGAACATTACTTCACTTGCAAGGCACAAGAACGACGCAAGCGTTTATACTGTTTGTTTGTTTCCTAAACATTTTATGGTTAGAATGACAATTCATGTTCTTAAAGAGCTAAAAAGAGGCTAGCTTTAAAGCTTTGAGCTATATATATTTCCCGTGTTTATTATTATATTTTTTTATTAGAGTATGTAACAGCAAAACACGCACACAATATTGTTTAAGGAGTCGCCAAATATAGGTGCACTATTTTACAGTGATAAATAATGTCACGTCCACATTTGGGTCGTGCTTAGGCAGATTTCTGCATTCGGGTATCTCTAAATTAAGGCTTCAAACTAATAACAGAAGAGGACGATATTCTGAAAAATAAACTAATTCTCCCAGCCAAGGCACGAATATTTTTGGCGTTCAGTCCGTTAGTCTTTCCACTTCCTGGTAGCCTTAAGTATATGGTGTGAAAAATATTTCTCGACTATTCAGTCACGATCACCTCGGCCTGAAAACGAAACTTTATGTCAAGGGTCAGAAGAAACAGATCTATTTTTGGCGCCGGTTACCTTTGGTCTTCTATATATTTCGTGATTATAATGATATTATTAGGATACTTAGTAACTCTGATTATGTATTCCGACTTCCGACCTCCAAGAGAAAACGAAGACACGCTATTCTGCAAAGAAACGAAGAAGGAAGCAATGAAAAATGCAAGACCAAACAAGATTTTTCCCATCAAGTTCGCTTCTCGTTGCAATTTATTCTGTCAGCTTTCTTTTTCAAAAATTTTGATATCAATAAATGCTAATGATAATTAAGCGTCGATGCCCTTTTTTCCCTTTATGTCGTATTTTGATGAGCCCACGTCGGAGACTCGTACGCCGTGGTGCACGGTGCATTTCATATCCTTCGATTTTAGGTACAAGTGATCGATGTTTATATTGTTTTGGAGCCCTCAGAGCCTTCTTTATCGACAGATAAATTGCTCAATCACGAATTTATTTGAGACACTGATATTCACGAGCGCACTTTCTCAGTGTAGTTAACAATATCACGCCCAGGTGCTTGTTTACATCATGATTTAGCCGATCTCTACTTCTGGGGATCTCTGATTTCAAGAATTCAAAGAGGTCAGTACTGATAAATAAGAGAAAAGGGCGACAATCTGAAAAAATAAACCTCTGCCAACCATCACACTGGTTATCAATCTTTAAGCGTATCGCGGAAAATCAATCTCCTCAACTTTTCAGTCAGTTGGCTTGAACAATGGAGTTTTTTGTTTAAAAAAGATCTATTTTCGTCTCCGACCGCCTTTGGTAATTCTCTGATTATGACTTCCCACTTCCGCTTAAGTTGTCCAATCGTCAGTTGGTACGACTTACAACAGTGATACTCTCACGATCGATCACACCACAAAAATGAACTGTTTCTCTGACATGCATGTTCAGGCCATATACCCTACAATATGTTCATGTTGCACATGTTTATGGGCCTTTAAATCCCATTTATAATTCATGAAATACTTTTTAATGATAAATTGAATAAGAAAGAAAGTGTAATACATTATCTTAAAATGTATTGGATTTGTATGGACGCAAAGTTTTAAGAAAATGTTAAAGAATGAAAAAAAGTTTAAGGTACCGACGAGAGTATAGTTTGCATCTTTTGAGGCGACCGTTCGTTTTTTTTTCCCCCGGTAAAATATTGAGTCATAATGTGAACTCGATAATAAACTGTGAGTTTCAATATTATTTAGTTGAAGGAAATTTAATATTAGAGAAAATAAAGGAGTGTCAAAAAAGTTCCCCCTTAATTGAAGCAAGTGTTCCCATGCCAAAAGGTGTTCCGTGTTGACACGTTTTGCTGCAAAGAGGAGGAGGGGAAGTGAAAGTGGCAAGCAACTATCAAATATTTCACCAATGAAGCTCTAATCTCGTCGCAGTTTAGTCTGTCAGCCTTCGTTTGAGGTGACATGGGCTATTAAAAATTAAATTAAATTAAAATTCAATTCAATTCAATTCAATTCAATTCAATTCAATTCAAATCAAATCAAATCAAATCAAATCAAATCAAATCAAAT